GGATGAAGCCTGTACAGGGTTCACCACTTGAGGGCGCTTTCCCAATATCTGCTCATATCTAATGCATTGAGTCAGATACTTTATAATGGGTTAGCATACATTAAACTTTGTTTAAAAAAAAAGCAAGATTGTTACATAAAAAATAAATAAAAGGAATAAATAATAAGTTCATGGTCACATAAATAATGTACTTAGGAGAGATTTCCCATCAGGACAAACTTACTGACTGTTATATCCCAGACAAAAAATATAACCCATACTTACATATAATCATGGCACACCACAGATACATATATCGTTTGCTGATAACAGTTATATTTATTGTGTATTGATTTGTTAATTACAGCTTTCCGTGAAGTGTTTGACTTATTTGATAGCAATGGTGGTGGTAGCATTGATGCTGATGAGTTTTCTCAAGCCCTTGACAGTGTTGATATTCAGATACCACCAAATGAAATCGCTGAAATCATGGCAACTATTGATAATGATGGTAAGTCATGTGACTCAATTTGTAATACATCGCCAAGGCTTCACAAATAACTGATTTAAATCTTATTTATACCTTATTTTGAATTCATTCGTACTTATGATTTACATGCAGTATATTTATGATACATTTATTAATATATGCTTTAGTTATTTGCATAATGTTATTGTTATTATTCCGTTGCATAACTTTATATTTATTGTTATTTACTAAAATAGTTTTATTCACTTCTGACAGGTAATGGTGAGATTGACTTTGATGAGTTTTTGCTTTTAATGACGAACACCGAACGTTTTTTAGAAACATTTGGTAAGTAAAACTTAGTATTGATTCAAAATTTGTCTATTTAAATGAATCAAGATATTTTAGATGCAAGCAATCACTGTCAAAATACTTCCAAATAAGTGACTTTTCATCTGGTGCTATAATCATTACTGTAATAATCTTTTAAATGCGATAAGGCCAGACTTTCATTATCCCTTGTTTCGCCTCTCCGATCAATGATCTCACTTACAATTCTTTGAGAATCACACAAATCTAATGGAAAAAATTTTTATTTTTTTTCTGCCCTCCTCAAAAAAATTGCCTTATAAAAACTTGAGAAACAAGGAATAAAAAAAGTCTGGCCTAAGCTTTCAGGATAAAATGTTGACCCAATATTTTGTTCATTTTTATGTATTTTCTATCATTTTGGATAGTTAAGAAGATGTTCTGTTGGCTACAGACTTGATCAATATCACAAATTTAATAGAATATTATAATAAACAGGATGAGCCAGTGACAGTGCTGTCAATAAGTCGTCAAGCAGGAAGAATTCCACAATAATATCAGAAACAATAAAACATTTGTTCCTATATTTGTTGAGAACCAATTAACATACTCACCTCTGGTGATGGTTATTAGTCCCTGTTTGGACACGTCAGAAAACCGAGACATTCATCTATCTAAGCGTGCATCAAAAATGTTATCACGATGGTTAAATAAAATGGGCCCTCGAATTAGCACACAATGATTTTAGATACATTGAGCAGTGACACCTGCATGCACTGTGTTGCGAGGTTTATACAAGAAGTTTCTTGTTAGTGACAAATATTGATATATGTAAAGTTATCGTAATTTTAAAAAAATCAGCACCGAATGCTCAGTTGCATTTTGAGGATCAGCAAAACTTCAGGGTTGATGAACAAGCCAGACAGCAGTCATTTTTTTTCATTTGTGTAGTTCTGAAAAATGATTTTTCTCATGCTTCACTTTTGAACCCCAAATAATTAGAAATGCAATTATCTTTATTATGTGCGATGACTGCAGTAGTGCAAAATAATATTTTTTTGTCAATTTTGAAAAAAAAAAAAAATTAATTAATTCAACCTTATTATGTGTTGTTCATGTTTGGGGCCTAGACTTTTAAACATGTAAAACCATGATAGTTAATTTAACCATGGCTTACATAATTAAAATCACACTCTTAGCCAATCAGAATGACATATTACGACCATGTGAACTGAACTTTACATTGAATTTGACATCTCTTGAAAGTGGTAACTTGAGAGCAATTCCTGTTCCCAATTGCATGTTGAACCAATTGTCCAGCACGAATGGCAACCTTATTGTATAACTCCATCATGTATAATGACATTTTACAGTAGCATCTTATTAACATGATTACTTTGTATAAAATTCTATACTTAATTGTTGTTACTAGAAACACACTATTTATTTTATGTATTTTATTTGTTTAGTTGAAAATAAAGATGGCTCAACTATCGATCCAAACCACAGAGAGACCCTGTTATTTGATGCACTCACACAGTTTATGAAAAAATCTGCATTGAAAGCTATGGATGAAATTGTTTGGTAAGATATTATTTAATTTGACCGATGTAAGCAAGTTATGTAAGCTATTCTTTGATTGGACCTTCGCTTCAAAAGATTATGAGTAAATAAAATTTGATTGGACTATAATGTCACAATGCAATCTGTTAATGTTAGCTCTGATTTGATTAAACTGTTATGTCAGAATGCAATGTGGTAATGTAAGCTGTTACTTGATTGGACCATTATGTCAGAATGCAATGTGGTAATGTAAGCTGATACTTGATTGGACCATTATGTCAGAATGCAATGTGGTAATGTAAGCTGTTACTTGATTGGACCATTATGTTAGAATGCAATGTGGTAATGTAAGCTGATACTTGATTGGACCATTTTGTTAGAATAACATCTGGTAATGTTATAGCTATAATTCGATTAGAACAAGATGACTGATTTTAACTGAAATGAATTTTCAATAATGCAAACAAAGCAACATGAATTTAAAATATTAATATCTAATAAATTATTCATGACTTGTATTTTATAGTTACTACAAGACCAAATATAAAAAAGCTCAGATACCCACACGTTGTTGGGCACTATGCTGCTGGGGCAAGACTAATAGGACTGACTGAGAGAGAACTTATCAGACATCTTTGAATTTATTGAAAGCAAACCATGCAG